TTGGCTCATACAGTGTCCACCTACTCATTGACCTCTACACAGGCCGTTTAGTTCTGATCCAAGCAGCTACTCGCTCTCGGAATGTTTTCATTTCATTATTGAATTCATTGGAAGATTCCGTTTCAGATCTATTTATTTTTTGCTCTCTCCTCATCTTTTTTGATTTTTGATTTCATATTTCAATTTATTCCTTCTCACAAGCTTTATTTATTTATAAATTTGAAACCAACGTTCATAGATCAAAGGAGAAAACAGGAATGAATGATATACGGTGGAGAAATGATTGGTATGAAGTATTTAGAGTAATTAAAATTTAGAATAAAATTGTTGAACATTCTATCATAACTAAATATATCTCTCTTTTTTGTTTTTTCTTTTTCAATTTACATATATGCAACAATTTTAATTTAAATATCAATCTGAAAAAGAAAACAAAATTGGCAATTGAATGTTTATTTCTTTTTAAGTTTACTGATAAAAGTATTATTTTATCAACTGCAAATGTAAATTGCTATCCTCTTATTATGAACTTGTCATTTTTATCCTTTTTTTGATATGATAATAATGAATGATAATCAAAATATTCTAGAAACAATCAAAACGTTTGAGCGTTGTGCTGTTTGCGGTGATTTAGCAACTGGTTTTCATTATGAAGTTGCCAGCTGCAATGGATGGTTAGCATTTTTAGCAAATTTTTCAATTTCATTCATTATCAAATTTATTTAATCATAATATAAATGATCAGATTAAAATTAAAATCATTAAAATTCACTTTTCTTTTAAATTCCTCCTAGCAAATTACAATTATTTCTTATAACTAATCATGTAATAAACTAATCGTATAATTAAAAAATTTCTTTTTGATCTATTGAATAATATTTTTTTTCCGAACATCAATGAGATTACAGTAGTTTTATTTACTGAATATAACTTTTAGCAAAAACAAAGACTGTAACTGTTGACAAGAAATGTAACTGTTAATAAAAAATGTAACTGTTGAAGAAAAATAAAGACAAAGACTTAAATGAATGTTAATTTAGTTTAGTTCTGTTAGTTTAATTTATTTCTGTTAGTTCCTTGCATGATGTTATAAATTTATCCAATTTTAAATTTTTATTAGAAGGAAATAATTGATTGTAAATATGCAAACATCAAAGAAATATATTTTGAGGAGCAAATGTAATTCGAAATTAATAAGGTAAATGTTGTGTAACTCTAAATTAAATCATGATATTTTCATATCTGTGCTTCTCCGAAATGGCAAACAATTTTGAGTGGGAAAAATAGCTTTCTACAACGATTCATTCAAATAAATTAAGTAACAACCAACAGTTTACCGAAATTCAATTTTATCGGATTGATTTTGCAGTAAGACATTCTTCCGGCGTACTTTGGTTTCCAATCGAATTTATAAATGCCACAAAAACGGTAATTGTACATTTGATAAAGGTAAGCTTATTAATCCTGTGCTCTTTTTTAGCATTCATATCTGTTAAAAGTACATTCAAATATGGTTGAATTATTAATATCAATAGGATATTTGGATATCATTTTTATCAGTTATCTTTGCAAACTTCTAAATCATTCCTTTTTTAGAAATTATATCATTCAAAATGTAACCATCACTTAACTATACCATGTTTATTTTGCCGTAAAAATTCATCTAAAAACAAAAATCTCATCAAAAATTGATTTAAAATGTTCAAATTAATTGGTACAAATGAATGGTCAAATTAGCTGGCATTAAGAAAATTGTAGTCAGTTTGTTATTTTGCTAATTATTTGGGATATATTGCGCTTGTAATTAATTCGCTTGCAAATTATTCTTTTCTGACAATTTAAGCACAAAGATTAATTTTTCTGAAAAAAATTCCTCTTTCAAACTAACTTTTCGATTAAATTTTGAAAAGAACAAAAATAAATAGATCGTAACAATCAGCAAAAGACATATGTAATGATTTACAATATTTAAAGTTCAACTTTAATTCGATTTTGAATTATTTCAAATTTCAAACCTAATCAAATTTAATATTACAAATTTAGATATGAGATGTGCATGTCGAGCATGTAGGTTTGATAAGTGCGTCGCTGTTGGTATGAATCCAAAAGGTTCTTTTTTTTTTTTAATTTTTCAATTTTATTCATTTTTAATAGTCTTAGATGATCGATATTTGGAATTATTTAATAGAAATAAGATTAATATTTTCTTTTCTTTTTTGTTTTTCAATTTTTGTTGGAAAAAAAATTTTATTTTAGCAATTCAATGTAATCGTACGGGACGTTTATCATCACCTCAAGAAGCTCCAAGCTCATCTACCTCATCATATGCTTCCTATGAATCTGATATATCTCAACAACAGGTCTCTACTTCATGTAGCATGGAGAAAGAGCTATACTGCTTATTTCCTCAGACGACAGATTCCATCCGTAAACGTTCATCATCAAGTCCAGACAGTGAATCAGCATCAAAACGAGCTTATACCATTTCCGCACTTCTTGATTTCCCAAAATCTGACACCATATCGACTACAGATGAAAATTCTAGGTCATATTTTTATTTTTATTTTTTTTTTCATTGGTCCTTCGACTATGAGAGTTTTGTCATTTAAAACATCTTTTATTTCCATTTTGTAAAAAAAGAAATCAATATTTAATTATTTCAATTCATTTGCTAGACGATATATAGTACAGATAGAATGAATTGCATATTCTATTATAGTGGACGGAGTTTTATTTTTTAATTAAATCAGAATGAAAGAATTGATAAGTGATATGAAAGAATAGAGATGATAAGATGGATGATAAGAAATGGCAGGAAAAAGTTGTGAATAGGAGAAGGAAATGAAGGAAAAGGTGAAGCTATTTCATGTTAATTTAACTTTAAAATATTGATTTAAATAATGATTCGTTTGCTATTTACAGATTCAGATGTTCAAAGATGAATATAGCACAGTCATCGACCACGAATATTACCTCTAGCATTCGTGATACTATTCGAAAACATTGCTCTATCTCGGAGAAACATGAACAAGTTAATTAATTGCTTTTGAATTTGGCTTAAAAAAAATGTTTTTGAGAATTAATAAATGAATTTTAATTTAATCTTTAAATATTCATTTTCAAATATTCACATTAAAGATCAGTTGATATACAATAATTCAAAACTTTTGCTCAAGAAATGCTTCCTTTTTACAGCTGATTTCACATCTTCTTCGTGCGCAAGAAATTATCAATGAAGTATTAAATCCGGAAAAATGTGATACTTCTATTTCGATTCTCGACTTGTTAGCACGACCATCAGTGGTGTCAGCTGCATTTCCAGTTGACAATGACAAAGTAAGCTTTAAATTATTTGAGTTCAGATTAATAAAATTGCTAAAATGAGGGAAAAATTGCTTACATTGTTGTTTGCTATCTGAATATCCTAAATATAAATTTCTTCAAATACAATTTTAAATCTTACCAAAATTTTTGAAGCATTTCTGACTAGTCGTAGCTTAATGAATTTCTCTTTCTGAACATTCTATCAATTCAGTTAATTGGCAAATCTTTTCTAAAAATTTTTCCGGTTAATTTTTTCTCCTTTTCAAATTATCTAATTTATTAAACTACTTTTTCCCGAACAATATATTCTTATTTAGCAACAAAAACAGTATAACAATAGTCGAGAAGCGGTGTTGAATCAGAAACTCGAGATTGCTGTAGAATATGCGAAAACATTCGAATCTTTCCAATGGATGCCAATTCAGGATAAGGTTTCCTTCATTTAATCTGAACTTGTAATATGATGAAAACTATTTCTTATAGGTTTTTTGCTAAATTTTTGTTCATAATAATATTATTACTTTTTTGTTATAGATATTACTACTACGTGATGTTGTATTTGTGTTGATTTTGTTGGAAACTGCTTATAAAAGATCTATTTCAAAAAGCTCATCTGTCCTCAATCATAGGAATGAACGAGAAAGACAGTAAGATTTATCGTAATTTGAAATTTCATTAATTTATCGTAATTTCATAATTTCGTTAAAAATTGAAATTTAGAAATATTGAAGAAAAACACATTCTACGTTTTTATATTGTTTATTATTCAGAGATAGAATGTAACTGTTTTTCTTTTATTTTTATATTGATTAGGTCAATCGAGGAAAATATTGGAATGTCGATGATAATAGAAAGTTTTAATAGAGCAAAACTGGACAAGAAGGAATTTTTGTTGCTCAAAGCAATTGCTTTTATGCATTCTGGTAAATTTTATCATAACTGACGGTAGCTTAAATTTAATTCGAATTTTATCAGTCAATGTCAAAATGTAACTTAAAATATTGTGGTTGTAATTATCAAATTCTTTTTGCTTCTATGCATAAACTTTTCCTGAAAATCATGTAAACAAATGACAGTTCACTCATTTCAAATCTAATTGTCAGATCAGTTCTATTGCAGTAGTTCTTACTACTGCTCTTATTTTAATTTGCATTCATTAAAATTTCCAACTCATCTTGACACAGATAATTTTGCTTCAAAAATTTTTATTCAAATTAATTTAAAAGAATATTTTCCAGAATGTTCTGGTTTATCACCAAACAGTTATAGACAATTGTCATGTCAACGTCAGCTAATTCTGGATACCTTATTTAACTATATGATGTCCAAGTATTCTTTTACTTTTTTTTTGTTCGAATTTTGAAAATGTCTTAAAGAAAGTTTCCAGCTTGATTTGCGATTAGATTTGAAAGCCAAATGCTATTTGTAGACATGAAAAACATGGCCCAGTACGTTTCGGTCACGCGTTATCGGTTCTTTGGTCCGTATATGAGGCAACAAATTCCTATGTGGAAAGCTTAATGGGTATGGATTTAAAGCCACTCACCACAGAATTACTAGCTAATAAATTGCCCGAATTTATGTCATAATTTGTGTATTTTGTGTATGAACCTATATCGTTTCTTTTAATTCCCTTTTAATTTTACTAATTTTATCATGATGTTCCATCTTTTGAAACTATCCAATATAAGAGAACAAAAATCTTTAAATGGAGAAAATCTGATTATATTTTTCTAATTAATATTTCAAGTGTCCTTACGATGAATTGAAAAGCAACGGATCAGTCAAGAAGGCATCTAATTGATGAACCCTTCTATCATCCTTCATATGGATTCTAAAAATCATGAAAAAATCCGAAGATCTTTAATTCCTCACCTCGTATTTTTCAACCCTGGAATTTATCTTTCACAAATCACAAATCGCTGCTAACTGCTAATAGCTCACTGACTTCTGAAGGTAATGCACACAATTTGATAAGTAAATGATGAAATTGTAACTAAGAAGCAATCTTTTTTATGGGTAGTAGCACCTTTACATTTGTGTAAAGCTCACATGCCATCCTCTGCTATACCACGATGCACTAGCTGATCGTTCATATTGTTCGGTTTCAACATAGCGCACCTCATCAAATGCATATTTTCTTGGTAAATAAAATTTCTGCTGGTTGATTGGCATGTAAAAATATGTATCTTGGTATGTTGGCATTGCTTTTGGGATAAAGGAGATCGGATAAGCAGCTGTCTTGACGGTTCGGGCATTTAATTTTTAACTGAGAATTGGACTTCTGGTTAAACAATTTCTTTTTCCTCTCGTAGCACCAAAACGTGGCGAAATTTTTTTCATTGAAAAACAAGTGAAGGAAAATCTAGTTCCTTCAAAACGTTGGGTAAAAAAAAACAGCTGATTGCATAAAGAAATTTGTTAAAAGTCAAAACAAGGAAAAATTTTAATGGAGTAACAGAATCATATAACAATGAAAAGGTCAAAAATAATCAATTAATCACGGTATTTTCCTCAGCTAGATTTACTGAAATTCATTTCAGAAAAAAGATTTAACTGCATACCATACATAACAGGTTAGAAAAAAATATACGGAACTTCATCGATGATACACTTGTGAATTATTTAAACTATTTGACACCGGTTAATATCAAAAAAGCCTTATATTAAAATTAAAGACATCAATACTGTTGAAGTTCATCGACTCGAGAGATGTTTGTATTTCCAAACCAATGATTCAAGAAACAGCTATTAAATAAACAAATTGTTTTATAAAATCATCAAGTGCAATTTAAATTTCACACATTAATATACTTATTTTAAAAAGATGGAAAGATCTTGGGTAATTTAAACAGCAGACATACTATTATTTAGACCAAAAGAAAAAAATTGAAGTGAATAAAATTCCACCAAGCGTCATTACCTATGCGTCATTATCTTGTACTAAAACAACCACTGACTTCTCGAAGCCACAATCTTGAAACGTCGGAATATTAGTTGGATCTTGCACTATTCCAAATTCACGATACCATTCGGGTGCACAATTGAGTTGCTTTCTCGGATAACTCGATAGCAGCGTAAGATTCGGTGGACAATTCTCATGAGCTAAGGTTGCATTGAATAACAACTACAAATACACATATACAAAATAAGAAAAGTTATCAACATTAAAAGATATCAGTCCTCACTGGAATAGCAGTTATGATTTGCTTGTTACTAATACGGATGAGTGATTGCCACATTTCAAAAGTAGGTAGTGACAGTCGACCTAACTCAAATCGTATAGATGGGTAGATGTTATCATTACTAGACAGATGATCAACGAATTAATCATCAGACACGTACTTCGAGCAGTCAAATTTCTCGGCAACGTCCAAATTGTTCGGAATTTATACAAAGCACAACTTGTGCAATATCATAAAATGAAGTAAGAAGTTTGACAGGAGAATGCAAAAAAAGCTAACCTCCAGACTATTTGTAACATCAAACCGCCTTTCAAAGCGTTCACCATTAGGAAATCGTATACTTACTCGAATACAGTCAGATGCTTGTGACTCCGGTGGTAATTCGCTTGCCAATTTCATTCTTATAGCATTTAATTTCTGAATGAAAGCAACGTATGAAGTTTACGAATAATTACTACGATAAAATTATCCTAAAATCAAATCTAATACTAGCAAAATAGTTAATATTTACTGAGTTGAACCGAAAAACTATTAAACAATATTGAAATCACTTTTACTGATACTTTCATTTTTGTTTATCCATATTCAGTAGTTTTTCTCAAAACATGATTTCTTCAAATGAACAAATCATTTTCCTAATGACTAGCCATTTGTGAAATTATTTCTAGCTCACAGTGATAGAATAGCAATCATTGCTTTATAAATAATTCTTCTCTATTTCAGAGAAATATATGGTTGATTATGAAGCAAGTTAAATACGGAAAAGCCAACGGCGTAACTGTCCTCATTCCATCTATGATAGCATTATGAACTTGATATTAAACATCCACTGCATGAAAATTATCATTGTTATAAAGACCCTGTAGCTAATAATACTTTGAGAAGGAAATAAAATTACTTCTTTCTTCTCTTGCTTTTTCTTTTTTTCTTCCGCCTCCTTTATTTCAGCCATTTTTCGCTCGCTCTCGGCTCGTCTCCTCTCATTTAGACGTGCTCGATCAGTTGCCAAACTACGCTGGTAATCCGATTCTTGCTCACGCAGAATGCGATTGTTCACTTCACGCTGATGTCTGGAATATTGAACAACATAAAGCTTCCCTTTCAGCAATTTATTAGGGAAAAATTCATTAGAAATCGATGGATTATACCTTTCATTCCTTATAGCATCCAAATAACTACGATTTTCATCAATAGCAGTTTGAATTGTGAAAAGCATCGGCTCAAGTTCATATTCGCCTTCCAATCGCAATACCTATAGTAACAGTTGAATTAATTTCACACTAATTTTCAACAAGTTGAAAATTGGTGTGAAATTAATTGTAAAGATGAGATTATAGAGCTATGCCGAAACTACCATAGCTAAAAAATAAATCAATAGATTTGCAAACACACATTAATATACTAAACATATACTCTTTGAATTGAACGAGCCCATCATCAAAGCATTTTCTACGAAATTATATAAGACAGATAATAAAAACATCTTCAACAACCGTTTCAAAAATTATTAAAACTTACTAAAACCATTCGCGTTTCACGCATACAAAGCAGTCCAAGAAATGGATATGTATTCTCCCGAAGAGCCATTGACACTGAAAACTAGAACTGGTAAAAATAATAGGAAAGAATGTAAGCGATGAAATTGGAAGTGTCACAAACCACTTCATTAAAATTATAGGGTAAAAATTTTCCTCAACAGCAAGTTAAAAATCATACTAGCATTATCTATTCAAAGTAAATATCTTAAACATCAGGTCAGGAAAAATTGGAAATCACTATAAAAATACTTTTATATATTAGGAGAAAAGCGCTTACCTTTATAACCCTCCTGACTGCGTACAGACACTCCCCACAGCAGAATTTCATTCCGATTCAGAAACTGTTCCATTTGATAACTTAGTAAGATTTCACGGACAAAACGTTCACAAGATTCATGTGACGGATTGTGCAAATAAACAATCATGAAACGTAATGAATTTTTGCACTCGTTTATGGCCTGAAAAAAAGTAACAAATGCTAGTCATTTTTCAAGCATTAACAGTAGAAATCTGTGCAATTTTGAAATCGCTTTTGTAAGGGCCATAAGCGAACTATTCCGTATGCATGTTATACTTTCTCCAGTTATTAAATTGAGAATTTACATTAAAAACTCTACCATTGTTGGAGAAAAACTAAAAACATTTTTAACCCTTTACTAATGATAACTGACATCATCATATGATCCATTGAAGAAATGAATTCCATTATTGGAATCACCAAAATGAGCATTGAATTCGTCGATAAAATGTCGTACATCACCTCTCGAATCAGCAACTGCTAATGGCGGTGCTCGAAACAATGACCCTTAATTAAAACAATTAATAAATCTATCTTTCTATTACTCAGTAATTGAATAACAAGTATCTGTGCATGCTTCCTCATGAGAAGAGCACGTAATCATTGTTTGAAAAAAAATCTGTTAACATGATAGCTTTATGCATCATTCAACATTTATTATTCTAAATAAAGAGAACCTTTTAAACTGTTACAAAATAAAGGAATCTTTTAATAACGTACATAAGAAACTGACAAGCTCGAATAAGCTTTGATAAGCAATAAAGAATGGAAGTTTGATGACTGCAATGGCCCATTCAAACCAAGTTTGTGGAGCTGGAGAACGTCTCCTCAATGATACTTTTGCAGAAAGCAAAGATGATTGTCGATTTGTAGATCTAAAAAAGATAAAAGCTAAAGAAACCATTTGCAATTTTCTAATCAAACAGAATTTATTTGCTGGTGAATCGACTCAATTTGATGTGACTAAGTTCCCTTGAAAAATTATCATCCAATTTAGTGTTACTAGTTTAGAAAACACTATCGTTCATCTAACAGTTCGAACAAAAGCACTTACTGTGAAGTTGATGGTTCATTTACTTGTACATGTCGATGTCTCAACTCATTCGCTGCATTTGATGCGTTTTGTTCTTCTTCCTCTTCTAATCGTCCATCAGTCTGGAAATGAATATGAGTGATGCAGAATGGAAGGCAAAGAAAATATAAAAATAGGGCAGTAAGAAAACTGAGACTGATGAATCGGCTATGCTATTATCAGAACAAATCTTTTATGAGACTGATGAATCGGCTATTCTATTATCAGAACAAATCTATTTCATATGATGATCCAAAAAAGTTTGTAAAATTTTGCTCTAAAGAATTTGGAGGAATTATAGAACCTCAAAAACAATTTTAAAACAACTTTCCCATCTTGACATTAAAAAAAATGAGTTTGGACTTACATGGAAGAAATGTTGGACTGCAGCTTCCAAATTCCAATGATTGTAAACCAAGAAATCTTTTGCTAACTTGTCACCTACTGCGCATACTTCCTGCAACAAACATCAGCTCTGATTACATTATCGCTTATAAAGCAAAACAAACAGTGATGTATCATAAAAGTTTGTAAATCGCATCTATTCAAAAATACTTATCTTTTTTACTTTTCAAGCTTCTCTACATTTAAATCAGGATAACCTTGTCTCCAGATATATTAGAAAGAACAAAAAAAGAATGCCAAATGTTTAACTAAAGTAATAAGTTCAGGTTCAAATATAATTAAAAAATGTGCAGTAAACCAGACAATTTTCTCTCATCTCTGCAAGCGTAAACTTCGCCAAAAAAGAAAAAAGTATGAAATTACGCGGAATTTCACAATCACTAGCAATTTAATGAAACGATCAATAATGTTATACTAACAGATAAAATTCAGTACAGCACCGCTGTTCCCTACTTCTTTCCAGAATACATTTCATAGCTATATGAGATTATTCTATCAAGAAATTAAATCGTTATGACGCTTACAAAAATTATTTCTTCTCTCCCTAAATCCCTAACATGTATGAACCTTGAAACTGTTGATGAAATTCGTATGTTCTTCGCTATCTTCTGCTGCCATTTTTTACACAGGGAAACAAACTTCGAAATGGATATATTGAAATGCCAATATTTAGATTTATCCACACCAAATACTTTAAGTTACCTTAAGTTTCATGAGCAATGCAAAACATTAATAGAATGTCTAAACTTTCCTGAAAAATAATTATAAGTACCAGTTATATAAACAGTTTTATGAGCAACAAATCGATGAAACGAGGATAGCTTTTCCTATAACTGAAATCAGCTATCGAGATGATAAAAACCTTGAAAGAAAATGTTTAAAAGCGTTGAACAATCTTGAAAAAGAATGAAGTCATAGATAAAGCTGGTTTGAAACTACAGCATGGTACGTGATACGATTCTCATCAATCAATAAGCTTCAATTTACTTGATTTTTTGAAAAACAATATCATATTGTTTACTGCATTGCAGCAAAAAACTAAATATGACCCGGGAAAGGATAGAATATTATTCGATCCATTTCTGAATTCATTTTCAGTCTATACAATATTCTCGAGAAAAGTGTGCAGAAGTAGAAAGGAACAACGAATATATGCATCCCATGGCCAAAATAATCGTGCAGATATCAAAGTTTCATTGCGAAGTGGATAAGTGACGTAACACGACAGCAAACCGAACTTCGTCGAAATATGAAATTTTGGTAGTTGGGGTTGGTTTGAGGTTCGTACGAGGTTGGCCTGGAATGATCAGGGTAGGCCGTGGTGATTTGTGCATTAGTATTGCGTATTGTACTGATCAGCTGCACTGTATAGACGTTACTCGTTGCAGGTTATCAAGTATCGTGTAATCATGAGTGGAGGAGTTTATGGCGGTGGTAAGTTTATATTTTTCATATATAGAATAATAGTATCTGTGTAAATATAGCTTCGTTTGGACATATATGTCAAAAGTTAGTAAATAGAATCATTTCCTATTATTGTTTACGTTTTCTTATTCAGATGAAGTTGGTGCTTTGGTCTTCGATCCGGGTTCGCACACATTTCGAGTTGGTTTTGCTGGTGAAGAATTTCCAAAAGTAATCTTTTCATGAATTTAGTGAAGTAGTGTTAAATGGAAAGTGACACTGGAAGTTTGTAAAACATTATGCTGAGTCATCGAAGTTAAGCTACATTACTGTGGTGAATGTCAAAGTAATCATGATTAACAATTATTGTTATATTTCTGAAATAAGTTTCATTTTATTGGAAGTTGATTTGACTTCTGGCTATATATATTACTTCCTGAAATAAACTGCATTATTTTTGTTAGGGTTAAAAATTTTTTATAAAAATGTAATTTTATATTATTTTACAGGGTGACATACCAAGTCAAGTTGGTGTGCGTGAAGTCCTGGATGAAATGGATGACACTGTGGACCAAAATGCTCAAAAAGCAAAAATGAAGGAATATTTCATTGGGCGGACATTCGTTAATGTCCCGCGACCAAGAACGGATATTAAAAGTTACATGAAGGATTGCATGAGTATGTTTCCTTCGCTTCGAATGAAATTTTTGCTGTTGATAAAGTGTTATAATGTATTGCAATATTTAGTTGATGACTGGGATATTTTCGAGCAGTTGGTTGATTTTTCGTACAGTCGCATTTTATTCTCTGAGAGCCAATATCAACCTGTATTGTTTTCCGAAGCTGCAGTAAGTTTAATTTTTCAATATTTTACTACTTTCATACTATCAGATATTATTTGTGTTTTTTTTCATTGATCAGATATGCATTTTTCCTTTTGTATTATTGACAGTTCCGTCACTCCAGATTCTCTCTCAACTTGTTGCACCTGTTGCAGCTCATTACTTTTTCTTCAAATTACTTCATGCTTTAACTTAATTAACTACATTATTTGCTACAGTGGAATACAAAAGCAAATCGTGAGAAACTGACAGAATTGATGTTTGAGAAATATAATGTTCCGACGTTCTATGTTGTCAAGAATGCTGTTCTTTCATGGTAAATTTATACCTTATGCTAGTGAATTTCTATATGCTTTAAATAAATGAAACATAAATTTCTATATGCTTAAATAAATGAAACATTTTTAATTGATGATGCTTGCTTTTTACTATAAATACATTATTTCAGTTATGCAAATGGTCGAACAGCTGGACTAATTCTGGACAGTGGAGCTACACAAACATCGGCTGTTCCTGTATTTGATGGATATTGCATAACACATGGTAATCTTTTAATATATTTAATATATGTTGCAGATTTTTTCACTAAGTTGGTGTTGCCGAAATATTCATAAAACGTTTTAAGCATAATGTTGATAATTTTAAATCGGGCAGTGTTCATTCGTCAAATATAGATGAAAGTTTTCGTGACGTTTGGGCAAAGAATAAATATTTTTTCAGCGGTGGTAAAGCAGCCGGTTGGAGGTGACATGATTGCAGAACAATGCCGTTTGATGCTTGAAGAGCAAAAAATTGACCTGGTGCCTTCATATAAAATTGCATCAAAGGTGTCATTTCTGTTGATATTTAACTAGTATTTTGCGAATAAACATGCCGTTCTACTACTAACATTTTAATTTATTTATTAAGTCGTTTCTTTAGGAAGTGGTTAATGAAATGGAGCCGCCTGTATGGACTGAGAAGAAAAATTTGCCTGAGGTTACGGAGAGCTATGAAACATACATGGAAAAGGTTTGTAGTTAATTGTTACTGAGATAATGAATGCGTCAGTGATTGTCTCTTTATATCATAAAAGTAGAGTCAAATTACTCATTTTCAGCAAATTCTTGAAGATCTCGCTGCTTCGGTATTACAGTGTTGCGATACTCCTATAGATGTTGAGTGAGTTTCAATGAAAATGATTTTTTTTTTCTAATAAGTAAGCAGTAAGTATTCGCCAATTAATAAAATGGCTTTTATTGCAAGCTTCTTTTTTGAGCCAATTTATTTTTATAACACGGCAATTATGCTGTCATAAAAAAAATTTTTCCGGAAACATTACATGTGGAGGTAATTTGGAAGCTTACCACATCTTTTTGATTGATTACATTCATGCTTGACTCTAGAAAATCCCTGCAATTTATGTACTTCAGATTTGCGGAAAAGCTGCCATCATCACCATTCTGCTTTCCAAATGGGTACAGTAAAGAATTTCAAGCGGAAAGGATCAAAATCCCAGAGGGCTTGTTTGATACAACTTATTTGAAAGTAAAATTTTTCAAATACTCATTTATTGACTCTTTTCTGAATAGCAATGAGGTTGATCTGCTTCTCTTTTTTAATCAGTTATATGTGCTTGATTGATTATGATGATTAACAATATTTTCAGGCAGTAAATGCTTCTTCAATAATGTCAGTCTCGCAAATTGCAGCTACAGCTTGTGGAATGTGTGACATTGACATACGACCGGTTAGTTATTGAAGAGAGTTAAGAGGAAAGAAGAATTGGAATACGAGATAAGATAATTAAGTTATATTTGCTCATCCGTAATCGTTGATAGTTATTGTCCTCCTCTTATAATTTTTATAAAGTATTAAAAAAATTTTTTGCAGACGATGTATAGTGGTTTAATGGTGACCGGTGGTAACTCGTTATTGATGGGATTTACTGAAAGACTTAATCATGATCTTGCTCACAAATGCCCGCCGGTTAGTATATTACAATGTATTTACTTTGTTTATGCAATTTTTATATGTATAATCTGTAAAGTTCGTTACTTTCAGACAATAAAACTAAGAGTTTATGCAGCGCCTACACCAATGGAACGACGATTTGGAGCATGGATTGGCGGATCGATTTTAGCTTCACTTGTAAGTTACGTTATTCACATTGTTATAGATATATCATCTTATTCTCTGTCAACTCAATGTAAACAGAAAATTTTAGGGAGCTTTTCAACAAATGTGGATCAGCCGTGCAGAATATGATGACGAAGGAAAATCAATTGTTTCAAAAAAATGTGCGTAAAATGGAAGTATTCTTTTTTATCATAGGATGATTATGCTATTGTTAGTTGACGAATTTTGACTCAAGATGGGATCTCTCATTCATCATTAAGTTGGAGGATCTTTGTAGAAGGTCTCGTTAAACAGAATTTCTTCCGTCAAAATCTGCAATCGTGCTCTTGTTGCTTTCTTTAATTTTTTGAGGTTTTCCAACTGTCCAACAAGTCATTGATTGTGAACGATCTCCTTGCTATTGTTTTACAACGTTAAATTGTTATAGTTTGTTAAAATGCATTTCGAGCAATTATTTTTACTTATTTTCGTACTATTTTGTACTTTGCCATTTTGTCATAGTGTGATTGATCTTGCATTTTGTAATTAATGTGGCTTATTTTATCTATCAGATTATTAATACAAATTTTAGGATTGGGAGTTTGAAAAACAATAAATTTCAAGATCCAGAAATTTGTCTAGTAATCTAGTAATGAATAAATCTGTGTATGTACAATGCGGTCAGTCTTTTCCATCGCTGTTTAATAATTTTTGTCATCTGCCCTCCCTCATTAAACACAGTCTTACAGAACAGTAGAGAATAATGAACTACTCTTTGCTTTTTTTTCCGTCATTTTCGTTTTCGAATATCCTTTCTGCCAAGATCACTTTTCTGATGAATTTTATTTTCTAGAAGTTTGGGAAACTAAAAACAGTCTGTGGAGTTGGTAGTAATCCTCCAATCTTTTTTTAATTTAGAAATTTAACAGTGAATTTTGCATGTGAAGTTATAAATGAATTTACTGAATGAAATTGACATCAAAAAGGAGAATTCGAAGAGCTGTGCTATGGTTTTTTGCTTGTTTGAGTAAATGAAATGCTTTAATATAAGGCTTTATTATCTTCATTTAATATAAGACTTATCTTCATTACTCTAGTAGAAAGTGGGAAAGTGAAATTATCGGGATTTTTTAATTCAAAGGAAGTATGATTCATTGATGTACAAAAGCGGGTTTTAGGGAAGGTTGTATTTATCGCATTTGTTCGCCATCGGATACTCTCGATTCACCCGTTTCACCATCATATAAGTATATACCGGTTTTGGTGGCCCATGGTGATCCTGACTCCGAACGTTTCCTGGAATAAAATTATGAGAAAGTGCATTACTAAAAATTTGCATGATAATCCGGTCCTGGGCAAATTATTTTACTATTAAAATCATGGAAAACATCACATCTTTTGAGTTTCATTTTTTTTTCTTTTTGGAAATATTTAATGCTGCAAAAACTTTCCACTATTCACTCTTTTCATTTCTTACAAATAAAAGAAGCGAATACTTTCTCATTATACTGCTAAATTAGCCATCGTTTAGTTAAAAATTATTACAATTAAAAACGAAAGTCGTTGCAAGCAGTGCACAATGAATGTGTTAGTGAATATTTATTCCAGTAATGAGAAGAACACGTTGTGATATCATTATTAGTGGAAAAGATATCATCAATAGTGGATGTTAAAAAAAAGAGGCTCAAGAGTGTGTGAAATGTCAGTGGTTCACAATGCTTTGTATTTTAAAACAGAATAAAGAAAAAGGAAGCGAGACAGATGCCTTTAATATAAAGAAATATATGTCACACTTTATCATCTTATGCTCAATAATGGCAAATTGAGTAATAAGAAGGTAACAAGCAATAAGTGTTGAATTATCGAGAGTTTCAATAATTGCAATTTAAATATTGAAATCTAAAGGACAACTGTAGAATTGTTAAGTTTATCATAGTGTGAAAAATTTTTCATTTGCTAACGACATTTTGAAATGAAATCGAGAAGTGATATAAAATTTGTATAGTCATAAAAGTGCGCATAAATTTTCTCATGCTACGATGAATTTAGCAATTTTACAATTGCTTCTTTAAATTTCGATAATTTAAATATTATCTTGATACGACATAACTTTTTCTATTGTTTAGATGAAAAATGACAGAAAAAAAGGATGAAATTTACCTGCAACAATCCCTATTAACTTTGCAGTCATAAAGACATGCTAGTAATAAAGTAAGTAGAATGAGAGCCATAAGGCAGATAGGTAATAAATGATGAGTTATAGGAATTTCGAATAGCTCTTCAACAGTATTTTTTTGATCTACAGCAGGAGTTATTGTAAATGTCGTTGTCTTCTGTGCCTCATCCAACGACATCTGAAGTATGACTTTTTTTTTTTCATCTTTTATAAAAATAACACAGTAACATTTGAACAAAATCATACATAGTGAAACATTTGTGTATACATTGCAAATATTTTACATATCGTGAAAATAATTTTGAAAATTGATAATAAAATAAAATATTAAGCAAAATTTGAAAATACTAGTCCAAATTTCTTTCACAGCATTACATTTAGATTCCAATATCTAAAATAATAGATGTAACTGAAATTGGTCAAATTTTTGTCAACAATTAAAAATCATCGCAGTGCTAATAAATTTTCAATTATTTATTGAAGTTCCTAAATTTTGATATATCAAATTTTGATGCTCCTAAATTTTGACATGTGTAAAGAAATATTTATTTCGTGAATGAAGTATATGAAGTACAAAACTGCTTTATAAGTAGAAGAAAGAAAATAAAGGAAAACTTTTGATCTGTTATCATTTCAATAAAAAATTTTGAAGAATTAAAGAACGAAAATGATGAGTGGAAATTGAAGCTATTGAAGCTATTATTTGCCTTTTCCATTTTTACAGTACTGACAATCGTACAGAACCATTTAGTTTTTTTTTCTTTTTTTCGATTAAAAATATAATAGTTGATGAGTAATCGAAACATTGCTAACAAGCAATTCCTTGAATGTAAATGAATGAATGAATTAAATGTCTGTTTTGCATTTATAAAATTTGGAGCGGAATGAGAGAATATGAGTGAAAATTTTGTTGTTGATGTTAAAATGTTTGTCAACAAACAAATGACATAGCTAACTAACAAGAAATTCGATTAATTAGCAATGGGAGAATAAGTAATTTGAAATAGCTATCAAATTGAAGTGTCGTAATTGCTAATAATTGTATAGCATAATAAAATGAAACATTAAAAAATGGACATTGTTCATTTTAAAGAACATTTTTATAAAGAACATTATAAATAAACATTATTATAAAGCAAAAGTATGTATTATGCATGCCAATAATTCACTACATCCAACTGATAAATGATAGTTGTAAATTTTTTTTTTTGTTTGTGACGAGTGTAATTAAATTTAGAAATCAATGTTATTGATGCAGTATTAATCAAAAGAGACATTTTAATGTAAAATAATAATGGTATAATTAACGAGAAAATCACAAATGAATATATATCAGATATTCAAATTTCAAAATAATGTATGACGTGATGTGCATTTTTGCACTCAAAAGCAAGCTGTTCTTATGAAATGGGAACTTTTTGAAAAAGAGGATATTCTTCATTAATGAAATGGGAATTATAAAAGGGCTCATTTGTTTACTTGTCAGTGTAATACAAATAGCTAGATGTAATTCTAATTAATGCAATTAATTTAAACATTTTGAATTAGTTTTGATTCAACATTAATGTACGTCAGTAAAACTTTATGTAATTATTGATGTAGTATTAATCAAAAAGACATTTTAATGTAAAATAATAATGGTATGATTAACGAGAAAATTACAAATGAATATATATCAGTTATCCTGATTTCTGGAATAATGTTAGGAAAACCTGATTAATGCTGCAGTTTTTAGCCTGGTAGTAATATCTGGGCAAAATAGAGACATCCAATGACGCAAATTCAACCTTTCTCTCTCTCTCTCTCTCTCTTCCTCTTTCTCCCTCTCCTTATTTCTACAAATCGGATTCTATAAAAACTTGTAAGTTATCTCAATCAAAAATTAACCTTAACATATGAATTACCAAGCTTTCTGCTATTATGAGAAATAGGTAATTCTACTCTCTACTGAGTGTTATATCTTCGTCAAAATTCCGCAATAGCACATTCACTTTGCATCAAATTCAAAATCAACATTTTTTTTTTTTGCGAAAATTTATTTGCTAAATTGAATATTGTCGATGGATATACACTGTCAATTTTTCCACAATGAATGAAAAATGGACAATTAAATTAAATATTGATTGCCTTTTGAAATATATTATTCAATCTTTGTTCACACTTTGATATTACTTACATATTGATATGTATTGGAAAGAACTTTTTGCATAATCTCCCTGATGATCAAATCTCATTAATTTAAATCCATAAAAAACCACACAGTTTCAAATCTTAATTCAACTTCAAAACAAAATCAAATGATGCTATTTTTTGTACAATTATTAGGATTTATAATAGATCATTACAATTGACCCAACGAATATTGTAATCCAAATCATGTGTGTTTATTAATGAAATTCTCCGGAAAATGATTTATTGATGATATGTTCAAGTACAAACAGTTGTGAAATGTAATTTGATAGTGCTTGTGTATTAATTTAATATTGATTTGATGATCCATTGGGAGCACTTGATGTTTGATTTTATAAATTTTCATCTAGTTTGTAAAGTTTATTCATGGAGATTGTTATTATATGCTAAATCATAAACTGTATTATTACACTGGTGCCAATGGCATCAAATAATACCACAAAGGTAGTAAACCTGTTTAACTTGTTTTAAAATTTCAGCAATCTAAATCCTACTTGAATTTTCATTTATTTATTTCTCAACAAAAAGTTTAATCTGAAATTAAAATACCCTCATTATGCAATAATAAATATCATTCAACTGCTAATGAACAACTGCCACTACAACACAATCTTTCTAGTTGAGAAAAAAATAATATCATCCATCTTTCCTAATTTTT